CTTCTGGACCCCCTGGGCTTACCATCAGGTCCAGGGTACCCCTTTGAGGGCTTCTAGGTCAGTGGCCTCAGGACATCACCCTTCCCGGTCACCGATGGGTAGACCTACCCCTCGAGTTATGGATGCGACCCTCTTCAGACCACCCCCTCATACTACAGGGGAGTCAGCGGAACTAACTCCAGAACCAGCCATAGCCCAGGATGCATTCAACCAGGTGGACCAATGGAGAAGTCTAACAGAACCCAGGAACAACCCGGGCAGCTAGAGAGCCGTGAGGACCCCTGTACTCCCACGTGCTTCCTCATCATCCTCGCCTGATGAAGCAGTGGCAGGAGCATCAGCTTCAGGTCCTCCACCCATTGACCACAGGGCACACCAGGACCTGCTCTGCCGCATTGCCCGTAACATGACCCTAGAGGTGGAGGAAGTAACCGAATCAGAGGACACACTGGTGGACATTCTCACCCCAGAGGGGTCCTTCCAGAGTGGTGTTACCTATAATAATAATAAAATAATAATAAGACCCTGTGGCAGACTCCATTCTGCCCACTGCCAGGGGAGTGGAAAGAAAGTAGTTTGTCGCCTCCAAGGGATATGAGTTTTTTATTCTCCCACCCACACCCTTGCTCCCTGGTGGTCTCAGCGGTGAATGAAAAGGTGTGCCAAGGGCAACAGGCGCCGCACCCAAGGCTAAGGAGGCCAAATGTACAGAACTCTTTGGCAGGTAAGTATATGCTGCAGGGGGCCTACAGCTGAGGATAGCCAACCAGCAGGCTATCCTCAGCATGTAACTTTAACTCTTGGGACTCTATGTCCAAATACAAAGAGTTGCTCCCTGCAGCGTCAAAGACGTAGTTCTCAGCTCTGGTCGAGGAGGGGAAGGCGGTGGCCAGGGCATCCCTACTGGCCTCCCTTGACTCGGCAGTCTCGGTGGCACGTACCATCTCCAATGGAGTGGTCATGAGGAGGACCGCATGGCTCCAAGCTTCCGGTCTTCCCCTGGAAGTTCAACAGACCCTGCCGGACCTTCCCTTTGAGGGCGCAGGACTGTTTTCGGAGCAGACAGACTCGAGGCTCCATAGCCTCAATGATGAAATCTCTGGGGATGAACTCGCCTACTACCCGAAGAAAGCCTTTCAAGCCTCAACCCCAGCAGCAGCAGAGACAATATCAGCCTCGCCCAACGTAGGACACATACCGCCGTAGGGAACAATAGGCATAGACCTTCTAACCCGCCTTCAGGCCAGTGGCAGGGCCCGACCAAGCCACCATCGGGACCCAAACAAGGGTTTTGAAGGGACGCCCAAGGACAGCATACCCGCCACTATCCTGGGTCCTTACCTTTCTGAACCATCTATCCCACTTCTACCGTGTGTGGTCCCATATAACATCGGACCGCTGGGGTCTTCGCCCGGTAGAAGTGGGATATTCTCTCCAATTCTGCTCCTCCCCCCCCCCTCCGCCCCCTTCCCCATCCCTCTTCAGGGACCCTTCTCATGAGCAAGTCCTTATCCAGGAGGTGCAATCGCTCCTCGCCATAGGGGCAGCGGAGGAGGTTCTTCAGGAGCTATGGGGCAAGGGATTCTACTCCCACTATTTCCTAATCCCCAAGGCAAAGGAGGGATCTCAAACCCATTTTAGACCTGCGAGGGCTCAGTCAGTTCATGGTAAAGTTGAAGTTCCGCATGGTCTTCCTGAGCACGATTATCCCTTCCCTGGATCCAGGGGACTGGTACTCTGCCCTCGACATGAAAGACACACTTCCATATAGCCATTTGGCTGGCCCACAGACGTTTCCTGAGGTTTGTTGTCGACCACAAACACTATCAGTTCACGGTGCATTGAAGGTCCCCCCCGGGTGTTCACCAAGTGCGTGTCGGTAGTTGCGGCCTTTCTCCGCAAGAGAAAGGTTTATCCCTACCTCGACGCCTGGCTGCTCTGGGGGCGCTCCAGGGAGCAGGTGGAGTCCCAAATCCAGTTAGTCAGAGAGACCTTCCAGAGACTAGGACTGCTCCTCAGTGTGGACAAGTCGATGCTGTCACCGACCCAACAAATAGAATTCATTGGGGCGGTGCTGGACTCGGTTCAGGGAAGAGCGATACTACCAGAGTCCAGATATCAAGCACTGACAGGCATCATTCAGATTATCAGGCAATACCCCATCACAACCATGAGGACATGCCTCAGTCTCCTTGGACACATGGTGGCATGCACCTGTTTGGTCAGGCATGCCAGGCTGAGGCTCAGACCACTCCAGGCATGGCTCACCTCAGCTTATCTCGAGACAGTTCGGACTTGGTAGTAACAGTGCTGGAGCAAGTCTTAAATACCCTATGCTGGTGGCTGGACCCTCGCATGGTCTGCGAAGCAGTCCCATTCAGCATCCCTCAACCGTCCATGATCTTAGTAACGGGCGCGTCAGACCTGGGTTGGGGGGCCCACGCAGGAGATCTACAGACACAGGGCTGGTGGTTGCAGTCCTAGATCCTGCTCCACATCAATATAAAGGAGCTCAGAGTGGTGAGACTAGCTTGCCTGACCTTGCGGACCCGATTACAAGGTCAGTGTGTGGCAGTGCTGACCGATAACACCACGGCCATGTTTTACATAAACAAACAGGGCAGAGCCCACTCCTCCCCTCTCTGTTGGGAGGCTCTCCAGCTGTGGGGTTTTTGTACAGGACACTTCCAGGTGAATGGAATGGGCTATCTCCCTGGAGTATGGAACGAGCTTGCGGACCACCTCAACAGGTCGTTCCGCAACCACAAGTGGTCCATCCGTCCAGACGTCATACATTCCCTCTTTCAAAGGTGGGTTTTTCCCCGGGTAGACCTATTCGCCACCAGGAGCAACAGGAAGTGTCCACCGTTTTGCTCTTTCCAAAAGCACAGTCCTGGCTCTTATCTCGGATGTGTTCTTGCTACCCTGGGGAGACCATCAAATGTATGCCTTCCTGCCGATACCACTCGTCCACAAGGTACTGCTCAAGTTCCACAGAGACAAGGCGGAGGCAATTCTGCTGGCCCTTGTGTGGCCATACCAACATTGGTACACCACGCTTCTGGAGCTGTCAGTGGACACCCTAATCACTCTACCGCTCCACCCATGGTTAAACCCAATGGAGCTCCAATGCACGTTGAGAGAGGTGCTGCTTGGTAGCAGGAAACCTTCCACCAGGGCCACTTACCTAGCTAAGTGGAAAAGGTTCTCGTGCTGGTGTGAGCAGAGTCGCATACCTCCACTTCAAGCATCTATACCGTTCATCCTGGAGTATCTACTGCACCGGAAGCAGCAAGGTTTGGCAGGATCATCCATCAGAGTACACCTCACGGCCGTCTCAGCATTCCATTCGGGAGAGTTGGGGCGCTCGGTATTGCCAACCGTATGGTGGGCTGTTTCCTGAAAGGTATGGAAAGACCATATTCACAGTCCCGACCACCGGTACCTGCTTGGGATCTCAATCTGGTCCTCACTAGGCTAATGGGGGGCCCCATTCGAACCACTGGCTACATGCTCCCTTCTGTATCTCTCGTGGAAGGTGGCATTCCTGGTTGCCATCACATCAGCCAGGAGGGTGTCAGACTTAAAAGCGTTAACCTCCAACCCGTCTCCCCACCCCCCAGTCTTCCATAAGGACAAAGTACAGCTCAGGCCGCACCCGGCCTTCCTGCGCAAGGTAGTATCCCAATTCCATATTGGCCAAGACATTTTTTTATCAATCTTCTATCCCAAGCCACATGCTACTGCACAGGAGCAGAGGCTTCACTCACTAGGTGTGCGTAGAGCGCTAGCATTCTACATTGAGCGCATGAAGCCTTTCAGAAAGTCGAACCAACTGTTTGTAGCAGTGGCAGACCAGATGAAGGGGCTTCCGGTCTCCTCACAACGCATTTCTTCCTGTATCACGGACAGCATCCGTACCTGCTACGACCTTGCTAAGGTCCCAACTCCATCTATTACGGCCCACTCGACACGAGCTCAAGCCTCGTCCGCCGCTTTCCTGACCCAGGTGCCCATCCCAGGAGATCTGCAGAGCGGCAACCTGGTCTTCGGTGCACACGTTTACCACCCACTATGCCATCACCCAGCATGCTAGAGACAACGCAGCTCTCGGTAGAGCGGTGCTCCAGTCAGTGATTCCTTAACTCCAGCCTCTTCCCCCGGGTGAGAGCTTGGGAGTCACCTGATTGGGAATCGACATGAACAAGCACTCGAAGAAGAAAAGACGGTTACTCACCTTCTTGTAACTGTTGTTCTTTGAGAAGTGGGGTTCACGTCCATTTCAATACCTGCCCTCCTTCCCCTCTGTCGGAGTAGCCGGCAAGAAGGAACTGAAGCGGGGTCGGGTCCGCAAGGTCATATATTGAGCACCATGAAGGCGCCACTCCAAGGGGCTCCCTAGCTGACCCGACGGAAGCTGCTAAGGGAAAAAGTTTCCGACTGTGCACGCAGTGTGCACACACCTGATTGGAATGGAAGTGAACAACACATCTCGAAGAATAACAGTTACACAAAGGTAAGTAACCATCTTTTATAGATTCAGATTTGAAAAGAGATACCAGTAATTTGTTGGTAGGCTCAATAGTCTACCACTATTTTACCATATCTTTTATAAAAACAAAAAATTCACTGTATTATACAGTTATGATCCAATCCCCACTCCATTTTGCAGTAATGTTATTTCAGCATTTGGGACCATTGTTATGATTTTTTTAATAAGGAAAAACTGTAATATTAACAATATATAGTCTTGCTTTTCTGCAGAGCATACAAGCAGGACTTAAAGCAGTCAGTTAATTTCAATCACAAAATGTTAAGACCAATAGATTCTCTTTATACGGTATTTTGAAAACAAAGCTTGAAAAAAAAATACATTTTCTCTTTTCCCCCACATCTTGTATTCCGCTATCCCCAGCACATTTAACAACTAGCCATGGTAAGGTGTTTGATATGTAAGGCTGGGGTTTATAGCTCACTGTGCAACTTTGTCTTTGTTCCAGACCTTTGATGAATGTGTAGCAGCTGGAGGCTCAGACTGTGCTCCAGAGAAACTTTGGCTTCAAATTCCATTCTTCTGTGGCCACAGCTCAGAATGCTGGTAGGGAGATAAAATTGGTTTAAGCGGATAATCAAGTATATTATCACTATAATCTATATTTAATAAGTGAATGTGTGGTGGAGGGTTAGATGTTGAGAAAGAATGAGAGCATCTGGAGTATACCAGCATGTAATTCACTGATGTGTACTTTGTGAGTTTACCTTCCAAAGGTATTTGACTTTAAAAGATTCATGCAACTATTTTCCAAGGAATAAGTTTAAAAGACATTTGTTTTGTAATAGACGTTATAGAAGTGTGCAAACAATTCTATAACTAAAAATCAGCATTTCCATTATAGACTCCAGTATTACGGATTCAATAGCCACAACTTCTTGTTGAATCCGGCTAAATCTTAGTGTACATGTTTGTCTGAACTAAGTGTTCTCCTGCTCAAGCTATTTGAGTTTTATACAGAGGGAAAATGATATAAGTAGCTTGGTTTAAGGTGCTGTTTTGCTAAGCTGTTTGCCAAACTCTCAATAATAAATGCAGCTTAGTGGTTAGAAGGTGAAATGAAATTTGATAAGAATTAACTGTACATGTGGATCAAGCATTTTTGTTTCTTATACAAGAGCCATGTACTTTAAGGAAGTCTCCAGGGAATGTAAGTTTGAAAATGACTTATTCGTGTACAACAATTCCATTCAAATCCTTTTAACATTCAGTGATAGAGAAGTTGCTAACTGCTGTCAGTGGAAACAAATATACTGAAAGGTTCTGAGTGAAGACACGGAGCATTATTATCAAGTCTATTATACCTAAATTTAGTGGATTTAATCACAAGCAAAGCAGGTGGCCACTTGGGGACTTGTACTCAAGTGCAAACTCTGTATAATGTGGGCAAGCCCCATGTACCCCAGTCTGGCAGTGGGACCTGAGGAAGAAGAAGCTTTGAGCCCCTCTATCCCCCCTTTCCTCTCTGGCAATGAAACCATAAAAGTGGGAGAGATGACAGCTCTATTCTTTCTCCTCTGTAAGGCCAGCTTTGCTTTTATATGGGTATTTAACTATGGTAATGAATAAGACTTGCTAAATCAGAGGAATTATGAGACGATATTTATCAGAGCATTAAAAAAGGAGGGCATGTGCCCCCCACACTCCATTTTTTGAGTAGGCAAAAAATGGTAGTTCTGACCACTTAATTCTTGAGGCACAGAAAAAGTAAAATTTTAGAAATTGAATTAATTAAAGGAATAACCATATAATTGCTAAACCCTAGTGGGTGAGGTGTTAGTATTAGCAAGAGACTGTTGTGAGCAGCCTTGTAAAGCCGTAATCCATGACGTTTGGGTTTGGTGTTGACCTAGTCACAGGTGAGAGAAACTGGGGAGGGGAAGTTAGGTAAAGGAAATTAGAGATGGGTGTGATTTTAAAATGAGTCTCTCTCTTGCCTGTGCAAAGATGATGTGAAGAAAACTACATCTAGGAATCAAGAATTCTTGGCTGACTTCAGAACCTTGCTGTAATTACTTTTTATCATTTTAGGAATGTGGGGAGCAGATGGGCTTTGGAACAAGCCAAGTACAACCTGATTAATGAATTCTTCCTAGTGGGAGTCACTGAAGAGCTTGAAGACTTTATTATGTTATTGGAGGCAACTTTGCCCCGATTCTTTAGGGGTGCTACAGAACTGTACCGGACAGGTATTTGAATAGCTGTTTTCATTTCTTCCTCACCCCTTTTTCATTTATGCTTTCACATGACCTCTTCAGACCTGAATGAGCAGTCTTGAGTCTCTGCCAGGATTGCTTCTCAATTGATTGATGTTACTATGCAGGAGGCAGAATCATTCCAAAAGAGTTCTATTATCAGTTTTACAATGCAAGCCAAGAATCTTTAGCCCTTATATGCATTACACACAACCAGGGTGGAGCATTTGGTCTGTGCAGCAGTTCTGCAGTAATATGACTAACTTACTATTATTTATACATGCAGGTAAAACATGGTAGGCTTTACTAAGAAAAGGGCTCAGCCCCAAAGAGGAACTGATAGGCTAGGGCCTTGAGCTTGCAAACTGCTCTGTACTGGAAGATTTCTGCACCCAGATGGAGCCCCACTAAAGGATCCTTTAATCTGTGTAAAACTCCTGTATGTCAGTGGGCATCTATACAAACACGGAGGTCTGTCTGCATGGATCAGCTTGCAAAACTGAGGCGTAAAACAATAGAAAAGCAGGAGGTGGTAGAAGGAGGAGGGAGAGCCAGCCCTAAACAAGAAAAGGGGAAGCTTGCACTTTTTTCTTTCAGATTGATTCCTTGAGGCTACACTTTTGTTTGTGATTTTTTTTTTAATGTTGACATATTTAAAGCCAGAAGTATCATTTTGACTTTAGACAAAAAATATTAAGAAGTATTTCTTGACATTTCCAGAAGTATTGTCCCAGGAAAGCAAATCATTATTTAAGGAATGTCACTGCAGAACAAGCAAATTGGCACTTCCTTTGCCACAGTGTAATTTTCAGAAATATAATCTTCTAGAAGTGGTATTTGAATGATTTGTGTGTTTATATATGTATTATGTATACAATTATTGCTAGGCAAACATATGATTATTTCTTCTTCGAGTGCTGGCTCATGTTCATTCTACTTTAGGTGCACACATGCCGCATGCACCGTTGCTGGAAATTTTCCCCTCAGTGGTATCTATCGGGCTGGCTCTTGTGCTCTCTGATGCTGCATGCATATGTGCCAGTATAAGGGGTGCTGCCAGCCCCGCATCCTCTCAGTTCTTCTTCGAGTGATTGCTCATGTGTATTCCACTATAGGTGTGCGTGCTCGCCACGTGCACCGGTGCCGAAAGTTTTTCCCTTAGCAGTACCCGTACTGGGGGAGCACCACTACGACCGCTGGAGTGGTGCCGGTATATCGCGCCATAAAGGGGGCTGCATGCTCCCCTCACCCTCAGTTCCTTCTTGCCGCCAGTGAAGGTAGTCGGAACTTTGTGCTCCAGCCTTGGCTGCAGCGCTTCTAGCCTTAGTGGTACTTGTTCGTCGATAGATAGCTTCTCTAGTTGGTAGCCTGGCTCGGGGCATGCCCCGTGCCCCAGGCTTCAAGTCGTGCGACTCCTGTCACAATTCCATGCCCAGAAGCGATCTGCACTCCGAGTGTCTTCGCTGTCTGGGCGAGTCTCACATAAGAGAGAAGTGCAAAATTTGCAAATCGTTTAAGCCCCGGACTAAACGTGAACGCGAGATTCGTCTCCGGACCACCTTATGGAATCGGCATTGGCCCCGGCACCGGCGCGCCGACCCGACCAGGCCCTAGGTACCGCATCATCTGTGCGGAGCGAAGCCCCATCCACCAGTCAGCACCGCTCCCCAGCCAAGAAGCAGGGCAAATCCCAGCGACGCCGTGAGAAGGACAGGGGTGAGGCCGGACCTGAGTTGGCCAGCCCACGATCCCTGTCGGGGCCCAGCTCTCCGACTCGTGCACAGCGGAGTAGTCCGGCCCCGTCTGCACGGACCTCCCCACTGATACGGGTCCCCTCCACGCCGGAGGCAGCCCAGGCGGCGCGCGACGTCCCCACCATGTCAGTACCGAGTGGACTATCCGAGGTGAGGCCCCGGTCCCGAGGGAAACCATCGTTGGGCTTCCAGCCCTCACCGGCTACGTCGGTTGTGGAGACCTCCTTCCGATTTGCCGGGCCCTCCTGTAGCCCCAGACATACCTCTACTCCATTGTCGGAGTCGCCTGGGAGTGAATCACCTGAGTCGTCCTCAACCCGCAGAGGCAGCAGGCGCTGGCATGGGAAGTGTCGAGTGAGAGCGGATCTCGACGCCGACAGCACCACCGATCATACCACGACGATCGCCACGTTCGGAATGCATCCTGGCACTCACCGGCACCGCGACGCCGCGCCCGGAGCCACCGAAGGGAGTCCAGGGATATGCCCTCCGACGTCTACACCTATTCATCGTCAAGGTCAAAATCCCATGGCAGGAGCCGGCATGGACAGCACCGGTCAAGCCGCTCCCACAGCACCGTGCGATCCTCGGCCACCTCTGCCTCGGCTCCCAGCCGCCCCTCCCCGGGCCTCACCGCTCCCCAGGAACAAATAACCCTGGTGGGACCCCAGGCGGGGCAGTGGCAAGGGGCACCATGGCAAGGACAGTGGTGCCAATGGGCACTGTGGCCCCAGGCACCTGCACCGCCAAGGCCTCGCTCCGTGGCTGGGGCATCCCAAACTCGCTCTGCGTCCCTGTCTTGGCGCCAACGGCACTGCAACCGGACCCTGATGCGGATGGTGGCATACCAGCACTGCCCGATGCTCTCAGGTCCGTCCCAGTTGCCCTGCAGGCACCGAATGAGTCCATAGTGGCACCGCCTCCTCCATCTCAAGAGGATTTCAAGGCGCACCAGGAGCTCCTACGGCTTGTAGCCGCCATTCTACACCTACAGGCGGAGGAGATTGAGGAACCATCAGACAATCTTTTCAATGTCCTTTCCTCCTCAGCACCGGGTTGCGTGGCACTGCCACTTCACCAGGGGGTGGCAAACATTTCCACGGGCCTATGGCAAACCCCGGCTTCCCTGCCGCCTATCTCTAAGAAGGCGGACCATAAATACTTCATGCCAACAAAAGGGCACAAGCATCTTTAAACCCACCCCACTCCGAACTCTTTGGTGGTGGAGTCGGTGAACGACCGTGAACGGCACGGGCAGCCTGCACCGACCCCGAAGGATAAGGAGGCCAGGAGACTGGACACGTTTGGCAAAAAGGTTTATTCCTTAGCCAGTTTCCAACTCAGGGTGGCGAACCACCAAACCCTCCTGAGTCACTTTGACTTCAACTTGTGGGGCTCTTTGCCAAAATTCGAGCCCTCCCTTCAAGAGCAGGACATGAAGGAGTTCAAAGCGCTGCTCGACGAGGGTACAGCAGTAGCAAAAGCAGCTCTCCAGGCTGCCTCAGACGCAGCTGACACGGCGGCTCGTTCAATGGCCACGGCTATCTCCATGTGGCGTGCATCGTGGCTTTCCCTCTCGGGGCTGTCGGTGGAGTCCCAGTCTATAATGCAGGACCTGCCATTTGATGGCAAAGCATTATTTGCAGACCAGACAGACACCCGTCTGCACGGGATGAAGGAGGCTCCCGCACCACCCTGCAGACACTTGGTCTGTATGTCCCGCCGGCCAAGGACAATCCCAGACCGCAGCCCTCGGCTCCCCTGGCATGGGGCAGATACGAGCCCCCGCCTAAGAGGCAGAGAGAGCAGCGGCGTCGGTCCCAACGCCAGTCCCGTTCGGCCCCACGACCTGGGCCCTCGAAGGCCAAGAGGCCAAGGAAACGGCATTTTTGACTCATTGCAGGGGGTCACCAGGCCTGCTGCCAGTGTATTCCCCCCCCCCCCAGTTAATAAAGTTGAGTTTTACCAACCGTTTATCGGCCTTCCGACTGCAATGGTCCCGTATAACGTCAGACCGATGGGTCCTCAGCACCAACTCCCAAGGGTACAGGTTAAAGTTCGTTTCGCCCCCTCCCCACCATCCATCATCCCGGGAGCTGGCCGGGGACCTGGAGCATGCCCTCCTCCTCAGCCAGGAGGTAGAGTGCCTCCTCTCCCTGGGAGCTGTGGAAAGAGTACCCCGGGAATTCCAGGGCAAGGGATTTTACTCCAGGTATTTCCTCATCCTGAAGGCGAAGGGCGGGCTTCGGCCCATCCTCAATCTGCGGAATCTCAACCAGTTCCTGGTTCGTTGCAAATTCCGCATGGTGTCCCTGGCCTCTATTATCCCATCCCTAGACCCGGGGGATTGGTTTATGGCTCTGGACCTCCAAGATGCGTACTTTCACATCCACATTTTCGAGGGTCACAGGCGCTTCCTCCGTTTCCTGGTGGGTCAGGACCACTACCAGTTTACGGGCCTTCCCTTTGGCCTGTCAACTGCCCCCAGGGTCTTTACAAAGTGTATGGTGGGGGTGGCGGCCCACCTCAGGAGGAAAGGGCTGCAGATCTTTCCCTACTTCGATGACTGTCTGCTCAAGGGCAAGTCTCGGTCTCAGGTGCAGGAGCAGATGAACTTCCTGCTAAACACCTGCGCAGCTCTAGGCCTAGTGGTAAACGAGGAGAAATCCACGTTAGTCCCAGTTCAGTGAATAAACTTCATAGGAGCGCTGTTAGATTCCCGGGTGGCCACGGCCTCCCTCCCACGGGACAGATTCGAGACGCTCAAAGCTCTCATCGCCTCTGTCACGGCCTTTCTGGTAACTACGGCACGGGTGTGCCTTCAAATCCTAGGCCATATGGCAGCATGCACCTCTGTGGTGCGACATGCCAGGCTCAGAATGAGGCCCCTTCAGCTTGGCTGGCCTCCCGGTACTCCCGGTCCTCACGGTGCTGCCAACGGTGGTGGAAAGCCTGCAATGGTGGTCCCTCCCGAGCAACATGCTTCGGGATATCCCCTTCCGAGAGCCCCCTCCCTCACTAGATCTAGTGTCGGATGCCTCGGACCTGGTCTGGGGAGCCCACGTGGGGAGCTTCAAGACCCCAGAGTATGTGGTCACCCGAGGAACTGACCCTGCACATAAATGTCAGGGAGCTCAGGGCTGTGCGCCTGGCATGCGTTGCCTTCCGCCAGCACATACCGGGGAAGGTGGTCAGAGTCCTCACGGACAATACGACAGCCATGTATTACGTAAACAAGCA